CTTGGAATATAACAGCTACCGTATGTTCAATAAAAATAAAGAGAAAGTAGCCAGAAAATGAAAATCAATAGTCATAAATACATTTCTCCACAGAAACCAAACAAAAAAAAATTACCACAAAAAGGAAGGAAAAAAAAAAGAGTAAGCTTTACGTCAATATATTGTTGACACTGGGTGAAAATCAAAGTTGTTGCTTGAGGTTTCATTTCATGGTGTCCAGCAGTGAGACTTGAATAACTCATCTCCTGAAAACAGAAAAAAATTCAACTATGTATGAAGGAATTCGACAAATACTTTTCTTAAAATGATCATTATCAGACTAGGGATAAAGTTTTTATGTTTTAACATATAAAACATTTATTTTCTTTGTTTAAGAAAAAAAAAAATAATTTATGCCAATGCCAACAGGTTTTTTGGAGACTAATAAAGAATTTAAGTTTTTGGTTAATGTAAAGTTTACTTGGTTAAAATACTTTTATCTAACATAAAGGCTAAGATACTGCTTCATTGTTTTGTAAAGTGCATCTCTATACATTGAAAAATTTATTAAGTTTCAACTTATAACCAAGGACAATAGGGTAATGGTGTGATGTGCTGTGCAATTCAATCTAAGGCTGTCTACACCAGAGAATAAAAAGAAATAAAAACGCTTGATTTGCAGCGAAAGGCAGGCAGCTTTGAGCACATCTCTTAATATTCATCACATAACACTTTGATGAACTTTAATTATGCAAGCTCTTAAAGCAATAGTTAATTTGGTACTTCCTGCTAATGTTTAGAGCATGTTTATGACAGAAATAGCCATAGCTAAAGCTGAAGATCAGTCTGGCAATCTAAGAATGATTGAAATTTGACATTCATCAACAAAAATGTGTCTAAATATAGGCCTCCCCCCCCTTTTTAAAATTTACAATTTATATAAAAAAAACTTATAATTTTTATTTATATTTATTTTGTTGAATTCTGAAACTAGACCAGCTTTTCATTTTTTTTTAGAACAATGCAAAAGCTAAAAATTAATTTAAGTTGTTGAAGAGATATAAACATCCATAGATATAAGTAGAATAGAATAGGTATTCCGGAATATATTCATAAAAATGTTTCTAGCAATCCTAAACTGAAAAGCAATATACTAGTATAAATAAAGTATGAAGGATGCATGTGGACTACAAATTAGGGCCAGGAACTCATGAAAGGAAAGGAAGGTACACTATAAGCATTAATTCTCCTATGTACAGTAAGTATTCAGCTGACCTAGGAAGTTTGGATACTTTAACTCTTTCTCTCCGTAATAATTTTTCTTGTTTCACTCTCCTGTTAGGATTTAACTCCGATAACTTTTTTTTTGTTTGTTATCAGAAAGTGTTATATTTTGATATTGAATAGTAGGAAAAAACATGCTCTTTTTAATCAACACAAATCCAAGTTTACAAATCCAAAAATCTTTTTAGTTCAATAGGCGTTAAATCAGTCAAATTAGGAGAGAAAGAGTAATAATACATGTTCAGACCAAAATGTTTTCTACACGTGGTGATAAGAATCAGGAGATGGCTCACTACAACTTACTCAAAAATACAAAAAAAAAAAGATATTAAATTTCTCAAACATAAAGCTTTTGATGTGTCTGTCGGTATACTGGTAGCTATATATTTATAATATTGCTAAATATTTTCACTTATAGATTAATTACATACAGATAGCAATATATTTACAGTTTGTTTGTTTTTTAAACAAGTAAATTTATCAGCTTTTACAAGGTTGTCAGCCCTTATATAATTTTTTATATTACATAGAGAAGAAAAAAAAACATTTGCATTTTGTTTTAGCTTTACAGCATCTGTTTCACTTCACCATGAGACAAGGAAATACTTTAGCTCATGCTTCAGATTACAAATATAGCTTTTCAGCATCTGTTTCACTTCACCATGAGACAAGGAAATACTTTAGCTCATGCTTCAGATTACAAATATAGCTTTACAGCATCTGTTTCACTTCACCATGAGACAAGGAAATACTTTAGCTCATGCTTCAGATTACAAATAAAAAAAAATCAAAACACTTGTAAGGATTTGTATGAAAAACAATTTGAACTCTTGTCTAGCAAGTTGTTTTTGAGTTGGCAACAGATTTTAAAAGCAGACCACAAGTTGAGACTTTTACGGTCACAACAGCCAATAAACACATTGGTCATCTGAATGAAGGAGTTGATCATTACTGGTTTATTCTTTGACTTGTAACAGTATTGAACATCATAGACAACATAGCAGTAATCAAAAAAAAAAATCTAAGGTTCGGAATGAATTCATTCCATGGTTGTGCTTTTTTTCCCCCCATTTACGATTTTGTCAATAGCTATTGAATACAGCTTGAATTAGCTGTACATTGACATTAGTAGTAAATTTCTCTGTTAGTCAGTTACCACATGCAATTCTCATAGGATTTATATTTTTAGTCAATGCTGCAGTTCTCAAATTATATGGGGAGTTTAACAACCCAAAGCACTTCCTTAGCGTATAAGCATCAAATAACCAAAGAGTTAACTTCCAGCTGAGAATTTATTTTCACTTACTACTGACCAGTCAATAAACCAGGAAGTTTGCTTGTCTCTGTCAGAAAGTTGCAGAAAATGCTTGTATGTCTATTCACAGCCAGCTTTTGTCCAACTATGTGTAACCATCTGTATTTTTCTTATGAACGGTGGAAAAGCTTTTTCAAATGTAGGCAAAGGATAATAGACGTCTTGATTTTGAAAGGTTTCTGCAGGTGAATCCAGCATGTGAATATAGGAAGTTTTCTGCAGGCGAATCCAGCATGTGAATATAGGAAGTTTTCTTTTTTATGCTCTAGAAGGCTAGAACAAATTTGGTGAAAAACAAAAGCTGTGCGTCCACAACTTGATTGGTGTGCCACTTCTCTGTTTACCAAATTTTCTTTTGATCTGTGTGCAATGTAATTGTAATTGCTAAATTCTTTCATAGCATTTTGAAAACGTGAACTAAAGGAAGACTCCTGCCTGAGGATTTCTAAAATAAAATATTTTTTACAAGTTATTTTTCATTACACTAGATACAAGATTGAAGGTTTGATAATTTTGAATAATATAAATAGAGAATGATTTTTCCAACAAATGTCTGTTGACTTGACACTTGAAAAAATACCTCAACATGATGATGAAATATGTCTGTGGTTAATTACAGTCAATGTGTTTCTGTATATATCCAAGTAATATTATTATTAAGTCTGAGCCAAAGTTTAATTTTTAAATAGCTTTGATTATGTCACTAAGTCATTCATAGAGGATTAGCTGCTCTTATCAGTCCAGCCCATTCTTTTACATAACACAGCCAGATTTTCTTTAGATGAGACTTTCTTCATGCTCCCTCCACAGTAACTTGAAGGATGACTTTTGACAGTATTTCGTGTTTTGCGATATGACAATACCAGCTCAACTTTTGTCTCATCACAGTATTGAGGAGTCCTTTCTTTTTGCCAGCCGAAGTGTTGACTTGTAGACGTACCGGTAGAAACCCAGCAGGTTTCTGTAGCATTTACTCGCAAAGGTCTTAATTTTTATTGTAGCCTCAGCGTTCAGTGTCCAACTTTTACAACCAAATAAGAGAACGGAAATCCACTGATGAAGAAAATAGTTATAATTTTCTTGGAAGCTGATGTTACTTAATCAACACTTATTTCCAAGCTTTAGCTGCAGCATCCAGCTTTGAAGTAAGATGTTGATCCTGGTCTGCATTTTCTCAAATAAGATCTCATTTGTGAACTTGAGACTTGAAACAGGCTGCCTGTCAAGCTATAAGCTCTAGAGTTTTCATCATATGCCCTAAAAATATGTTAAAAAAGAACTGGGGGAGAATGCATCGTAGCCGCGCTCCTTTGGATGTCCAAAACTTTTCTTCAATTTGGTTGTTCAGAAGCAGCTGATTATTCTCAATGGTAAAGGGTTTTGATAACATCTACAATGTTCTTATCTATGTTGAACTCCTGCATCTCTAGCCACATGACAAAAATTATTTTAAGTCTATGAAGTTATATGTGCCAAGTGTCCGTTTCTTTTGAGTGTTGAAGGCATTTTAAAAAATTTATTTTACAATGTCATGTGTTAAATATTTGTTCAACAGTGCTTCGACCTGCTAGGAAACGTTTAAATGTAGCTAGCTTTCTTTTTCTTAACTATAAAACCAGCAGCGTAGATGGTTCCTTTTGTTGCCACTGTACCAGATTTCTGGACTTTTAATGTAGTTTAATGAACTTAAATGTGGACAAATCTTTTGGTCAGTTTTCCATAAATAAAACATTTCTCGAATATTGTACTCGCTATATATTCATACTGTTGTTAATTAGCACTAATGCATTTACCTTCTTGCTCTGGACTATCACTAAAACGAGTTCCATTCTATGGGCCCGAAACTACAGGTCTACTTATTATTATTTGACACACTAGCTTTAAAAAATGCAGCTTTATACAAACCTAAACAAGTTACAAAATAGTAAAGCTTAAAAGCAGCTCCATATTTTGATACTTGACCTACGTATATGAATAAACTCATATATTTTTACTATCTAAACAATGCTTAAATTAATACCATGTTTTTTTGTTAAATGTCCTAAAATCATAGAAATGTGTTCGAATCACAAATAAAAATAAAATGCAAACCACTACAACAAACCATGCAACAAATGGACATTGCTGGCACCAAACTCTTTGAAGCCTCTTACCGAATGCATTACATTTTACAACAGGGACAAAAGTCACAGGGATAGATATGAATACAATAAATGGAATTACATTTCTTGAATAACCAAGTATATAATATTGGCAATGACAGAATTGAAACATAAAACAGGTTTATATTTAAGGGGCAGACAATCCATTTCTTCAGTGTGATATTTCAGTTTCTTGGTCTACTTAAAGAGTTTGAGTCCCAGACACATGTCATACATACACACACACTGAAATTCACAAGCAGAATCAAATCAATAAAAAAAAAACAACAAAGGCTTAAAAAATGTTGAATATTTATTATGAGAATTGTTACTGATGGGTTTTTTTTTAGTTCCCATTTTTAAAAACCTAGATCAAACAAGTTTCAACTTCTTGCAAAATTCATGTTGCTATTTGATGCCCAGATAACAAAGATAGAATTTAATAATATTCAAGCAAGTTTTTTTATGCAGCAGTCTCTCTATACAGTTCATTTTAATGCATTGATAAAGTTATTTATCATAGCAGATTGGCCCCCAGATAAACATATTTATCAAGGCAGATTTGCACCCAGATAAGGCAAAGTTTTGCAAGAAAAAGAAAACAGCAGTGACCAAGTTCAAATGGAATAAAACACAAACTTTCTATCAGGTTGTTTCTTAAAATTGCTACATTTGTATTTGTGAGCAATACAACTTTTGAAATCTACCCTATTGGCTAGACAAATGATCAAGAAACTGAAACATTCCACACTGGAAAGAGTTGGGGGGGAGGGGGTGAACAAAAAAAATCAAAAAATAAATTAGATTTTTATTCAACATGGCAGCAAAAACCAAAATTTTATGTATTTACACATTAAATCATTTCAATGAAAAAAAAAAAAGGACATGTTACATAGGTCTGTCAATACTTGGCCAATTCAAGAAGAAAATAAAAGTATCATGATTTGGCAATATTCAGGGTGGGAAAAAAAACTAAATAATAATATATTTAAACATGATATATATACATTGAAACCTCATTTTAATAGCATTCAGATAACTGAGTTATAATTTAATAACTATAGTATAGCCTTAATGGTTAGAGAGATAAGAAATACACAAATTCAAGGTACGGGGCTTTATTGTAAGATACGTAATTACATAATTCAACTCAGAAAAGACCAAGCTAGGGGACATTTTTCCACTCGAGGAACTAGAAACCTCTAATTTAGACCATGAGAATAGATATTATGCTACAAGCGCTTCACCTGTTCTATTTCTCACTTTCAGGACAACACATAAAAAAAAAAAAATGTTTCAGTCACCAAGCTACATATATGGAGGAAAAAAACTAAGGGGAATAGTGAGGAGAAAACAGGAAGTAAATCACAACATTTTTTGTTTGAGGAGATAAACTTTAAATCTGTCTTATTTGATACAAGTACAAGATCTTTCTTTTTTTTTAAAAAAAAAAAGGTTATTTTTTTTACATACATTTCATTCTCCATCATATAAAGAATGTTCAACTTCTGTGACACCGGCTTAGAGTGAAATCTTCACAAAGGTACTAGGCGTTAAGATTCCCAGTTAAATCGACTCTTGTTAGGCTCAAGTATAATGTATGTGTATTTCAGACACTATGACCTGCTTAACTGAGATTTTTCCGACTTTCCTAATCAAGACACATTTATGTCTCTAAAGCTGGACTGTATCTTAACTACGTAGTTCCACAAATTACGGGAGAAGTGTAAATGAAGAAAAGGGAAATAAACATGAATGTATATACAAGACAATACTAAGCCTACAAGTGTACACAATGACTGGTGTGGGGAACATATTTGTACATGTCACTCAAATGTGTGAGAGGCAAAACAAAAGAGGAGAAATATGATTGGGAGAGGGAATCAGCCAATGAAAACAACAAGACACATCCTACAAGCGGCACACACACACAAATCACACACAGCTTGTTAGAGACCCTGAGTATATACGCGCACATTTTCTTTGCTTTAGGATCAACACAGTTCATCTGTACAACAACAACAACAACACGCACTGCCGACCTGAGCAAGAATTGACTACATTCATGAATAGCTGGTTGCCAAGAATAGCTAATATACACATACATGTACAAAAAAAATATCTAGCAGTCATGAAACTGCAGCGTCTGCCAAATTTCCTTGTCAGCATATAACAGTTCATTGATTTGTGAAGATAACAGTTCATTGATTTGTAATTTGACTTCACAAAAAATTACTGAGGTAGACCGCTCCTTGTTGATAAAACAGGGCCATCATTTTTCTAGGTAAAACCTCTAATCCTATTCCTAACTTCACTCTGTTCTATTGGATACTCTAATCATTTCCCATCGTGCACTAATAAATTTATTTTTTTTTAAATTGTGTACATTAATATTAAGTGCATGCCATGAAAGACGAAGCATTAGGTCTGGTGAGAACGTTTGGACAACTAGTGAAATAGTAAGCTAAATAAAACTGTTAATAAAGTGACGTGTTAAAGAAAGTGTGAACCAAGAAGTTTTGGATCAAACTATTATAAAAGTGAATTATTTTTTTTTTAGGCTTCTGGTAGAGAGCCTCAACTGGTACAGAATAGACTTTGTTAATATCAATAATAAAACGTTAGCCAGACAGGAGCATTGACTAGTATGGATGGTGCAATCCTGGTTAATAGTTTCATTGGCCCCCTGAATTCATACTTCCAACAGAGTAAATCAAATGGTTGAATAAAATGTCTCTACAATAAGCTACAATGCTTAAAAATTAAATACTTTTAAATTGCATTTTAATATATATTATTAATATGAAAAAATATATATATAAGTGAGTTTAAAACTTAAATGTGTCTATATCAGAATAAAAATGCTAAATATATTTGAGTAATTGAAATTTCGCTCAAAGAATAAAAATTTATATGTATCTGGTGAAATTAATGTTCATTTTTAATGTTAGTATTCATATTTCTTAATTTATTAAAATTATAAGTTATTAACTAGGTCAAGTGATTATGAGATAGCTTTGGGAATGTTTTTTAGTTTTTTAAAAAAACAAACTTCAATAAGTGCTAGTTAAACAACACAGCAATTAGCAGTTAATAAAGCCTCCATACAATTTTTCATCTAATATCTAACATGCCAACTTGCATCCTACCCTACAAAAGCCGAGATCCCATTCTACCTACACAAAGGACACATCAACCCTATCGCTCACACACTAGTCAAACTCCCGATTTAAAAAAAAACAAACTTGAAACTATCTAGATGTGGATCTCCAACAGAAAATGACTTGCTAGCCAAAAGTTTGGTAAATGAAAAAATGAAACAAAAAAAAAAAAAGAATGTAAAAAAAAAAAAAAATAGAAAAAAAAAAAAAAAGTGACATATATAAAATGTTGTATTACCAAAAGTATGCAAATTTACTTTCCCTCCAAGCTATCAGTTAATCAATAGTACAGGACCGCCTGCCACTAAAGTAAAGAAACAGGGGAGTGGGGGGATGGACTCAATAAATATACACAACAAAAAAATATTTCATTTATATTCTATACTTTTTTTTTAAATGTAGGCTGATTTTAGCAAACATTTTTTTGAGAGAAGTTTTAAATTAACAGAAAAAAAAATAAATTATATCTATATATAAATAATTAAAATATTTCCAGCTCATTCCTTAACATACTAAAATATGTCTTAAAGCCAAATTGCTTACACCAAAGCCCTAGGGTATTTTGATGAATAGAAGTGCACTGAGAAGGTGGTGATGATTAGACATAATCTTACAAGTGTTTTATGTTGTTTAGTAATCAGTGCTTCTGTTCATCCATAAAACAATGCACAAGCAAATAAGCTTGAGCCAAAGTAGTAGTTATTCTCATCTGCTTACATGTATCCAACATGACAAGAAGTTTTCTTTTAAAACTTTTTTTAAAACCCAAAGGCACTGAATCATGCAAGAGTTGGCGACACTTCAAACAGACATGCCTTATCAGCTGAAGAAAACAGAGAGCTGGCGACACTTTAAATACATGCCTTTACAACAGATGAAAGATACACAAATAGCATTGAATAAAATGTGCACATACACTAAAACATGTACGCAGAGAGAAAAAAAAACTATTGGGAACTGTTGAGCAGCACCAGAAACTAATCCATTACCACACGTCACCATTACTATTTATTAAAAACCCCCCCTTTTTTTTTTTTTTTTTTTTTTACTATTCTCAGACACGGAGACAGATAATTTTGTGAGAAATACAGTTTCCAAAAGTTGAAGAAACTTAAAATGGCAGCTAGAACAAAACAGTGATGCTGTGTTTTTGACCTCTGGTTTTTAAGAAAGCCCTTTATTCATTGAAATAATATAATATTTTGATATCAAAATTATTTTAAGATATATCCGAGATTATTTTTTAGCAAGACAATCACATTAATTGAAACAACCCACCAAGCTTGGCAAATAAAAAGTCATATTGGACTAGTAATTGCTCAGAAGATATTTATAGACACAAAAATATGTAAGGCAATCCATTTGTGTAAGCGAAATAAATATATATAAAAAAAAAAAAAAGAATTTTTTTAAAAACATCTTCATATACAGCTTGCAGGAAGACGTTGCACATTGCACAAACACATTGCCACCGCTGAAGAGTTTAGTGCCTTGAAAACAAGCATCCAGACATTTTGTACTTTATTTGAATAGTTTAATAAATAGTGCTAATATCTAAATTGGAAACTAGATCAATTTCTTAAAAAAATAATCCCTAAGCCACGTTATCATACAAGGCGCTGTAAATGGGAGGGGCGGTTTTGCGTGCCTGGGTAAGCTCGGCGCCTCTGCTGCTGTCTCTGTGGGTTAGCGATGGGTAATATAGCAGAAGTAGTAGTATTAGACCTGTGAGTGGGTACTGTAGGGGCGGCCGTGGCACCGCCTGTTGTGTCCATGTCCTCCATGTCATAACCATTGACTGCTTTGGACGAGGCCACTACTGTTGTGGGGGCATGGCTTGGAGCATTGCCTCTGTTCCTTTGTGAAGCTATTTCATAGGCAGTTGCAGCATTGGCCTGGTAGAAACCTTCCAAGCCATTGTTTAACATAAAGCTGTTGAAAGGAAAGAAATGAAATTATACTTACAGTGGGACAGTTTCAATTTTTACTTTGCAGTTTTATTTAAGAATTGTTTTCTTTAGGTTTTTTACCTTGTTTCCAACAAAAATTATTTAAAAAAAAAAAAGATAGCTCTACTAAAACCGGGACAGCATTTTTTCATTATTCACCATTTAGTCTTCATAAAAAGACTAACCAACCAGCTGACACAAAGATAAAGGCACATTCCTCGTTCCATATGGTAGGACAAATTTGTACAAATGCTCATTCTTCCCTAGTGCTATTAGAGCATGGAATGTTTTGCCTGAGCCAGCCAGGAAAACCAGTGACTTGGCAGAATTTAAGTCATTGATTAACATGCATGACCAGATGCATGACGCGTAGGATGTAATCATCATCTTTTTTGAAGTAACGTCTGTAGTATATAAGATAAGTAAAGGCATTACTATATGTCCTATTTTTTTTTCCCTATTTAGAATTTAGTCTTCCTAAGTAGAGGCATTACTATTTACCTTATTCTCTGTTTCTAGAAGAATTTTTAAAAGACAATTCCTCCTTTATAAAGCTTATAGAGCAATTATTTTGCTCTTAATAACTAAAATGAATGTTGGCTATAGAAAAAAAAAATCCCCCCCCCCTCCAATTCCCTTGTATAAATACAAATAATTTGATGATGCGGATCCAGCTACGGCAACATTAAAAGACAGTATTTGGCTATAATTCTATGACTTGTTCTATGGTATATAGAAAATGCTAGTTTGGTGATAGGCCTATAGATGTAGACTGTGCACAAAAATGTTCAAAAACAACTTACCGCTGGCATATGTCTAGGCCCTATATAATTTTACAACACAGTATTTCAAAAAATTACAACTATTCAAATTGTTCTCAGTGGGGAACAATAGCTAGTAATTCTTTTCCAAAGCTATAAATCAACTAATTTCTAGGAAATTTGTTAGAGTCGTTTTTGATAACCACATCCACCCACCCAATGCCCATAAACATGCAAGCTGAATAGAGAAACTGTAAAAAAAAAAAATTTTTTATTTTTCAACAATAAAACAAAAAAAAAAAAAAAAAAAAAGGTACATTCTAGTGTTTACCTTTCTGCCTTATAACTTTTACGAGGAGATCTTGGACCTCGCTCAGAGATCCATGGCTGGGTGGCCAAATCAGCTAGTACAGATGGTGCAACATAGGTGAAGCCCTGATAAGTGAAAATTAACAAGCATTTTGAAACATTTTTCATTAACAAAAAAAAGTTTCACAGTAAAAATGTTCATTAAAAACTAAGCAAAAAGACTTCATTAGAAAAAAACAAAAAAAACAGCCCTTTTAGACCTT